TTCAACTATCGTGGTCAGGAGATCGGGCTACATTGTGAGCGACGTCGTGATGCCCCTCGTCGCTGAGCAATTCACAATCGAACACGCTCAGAATATTTTCAACACTGTCCACCGTCCCTCGAATGACAGCAGGGCGTTTGATTTGAACTTCTTCAATATTCGCTTCTTCGATGGAAAAAAAGAGCATCGCACCAAGCTCAATCTCTGCGCTCACGTGAGTACCTTAACTCCTCTTCCTTCTCGGAAACCTAGGCGCGAGAATCAAAAGTCTGAACTTCCCTAACTTCCCAAGCTTCCCTTCTTCTTTTCACAGGCCGATCGAATCTTCGTGTACGGCCAGAGTTATCTGCCGGTCCGTCTTGCCGTGCCCCGCCCGTGGGAAGTTGAGTTAGTCTCGAATCTCCCGCGCCTCGTTGCTTTCGAGCTGCCTATTACTCTATTCTCGCTCATTCTCCTACCGTTCCTGCTATCAGCTTACCATCGTCGATCTTTCCGTCCAACGTCGTTGATGTGGGGCACCGTGTACCATCTACTGAGCGGCGATCGATACAAGACTCTGATCACTTCCTCAGAGCAGAGGACTCCGATTCTCCTCATAGCAGGTTTCATTTCGCTGGTCATTCAGTTCCCGATAAATCTATTGAAAGGCGAATTCGTCTCATCGAAATATGAGCAGAGGATACAACCGTCCGTTTGTACTGTCAGGGCTTGTCAAGCCTGGAATTATCGCGAGCCTCTCTTCTACAAGCACAGCCCTGAGGAGCCCAATATAGGGAGACTCCATAAACAACAGTCTTTCAAAACGAATGTTTCGGAGGAGAATATGGAGAAGGAATGTCCCGGAATTTCCCTGTCAACCACGGGCATGGTGAACTGGACGATTATTGGCCTCCTCGTCCAATATTACGCTGTATGTAACGAGCCTGGACTGATGAAACTACAATTGAACAAGTGGCACAATCAGCTCCTATTCGAGCTCATTCCCGGCTCACACGAAACTCAGCCGATGTGCGCCTTTCCGCAGAATCACGGCGGCCAAGTAGCAATCGGGCAGCATATTCGCATCGCTAAAAAACTTCTGGAGCATGATCTGTTGAAATTCCCACATGTCCGGGACACACTCTACCCACAGGATGATTTTGAGGATCGTTATTGGAGAGATCTTAGTACGAAGCCCATATTCGATGGAGCGTCGAGGAAAATCAAGAAAGTTCTACGAAGAGTGATCAGAGAGCTCTCGAAGGGATATAAGGAATTTCGGATGTTTGGTGAGGGGGAGGATTTCCGACCGATGGGATTCCTCGAGATGGGGACTCTCTTCTTAGGGTTCCGCGTCCTCTCGCTATTCGTTGTCGTTTACTTCATTCTGGAGAGCTCTTTCCGTAGCTGTTCCCGGAAGGGGCAGCGGGCCTCCCCCGGCCAAAATTTTCCGGGGCTTCGAAGTTCCCCTGTGCTCCGTCGGGCCCAGAACCTATCCCTGCCACGGTGTCCTACACTGATGTTCCGATTGGCTCGGAGCTGATTCGCTTCCAGACAAAGGTCTTTTCGTTTTGTTCAAGCCCGTCGGCGCGATGATCGAGAGGAGCTCTGAGCTCACGGCACCCACAGGCATTCGTAGACATTTGGCGGCCCCCAGGCGAGAGTGGAACTCCTGCAACTATTTGCTCGACCTGTAAGAATTTCATTGTGGCTGAGACCGTCATCTCCTTCGATCGAAGCCCGGAGGTCTCTTAGGTGATCCGCGCAAAGCGGAGTGCTGCCGTCGCGTTCCGAGGGTCAACTGGCGAAAGCAGAGTAGTCGGCGTCCCGGGCTTTTCGCTTGCCCCAAGACCGTTCCTTCCATCGCGATTCTAGGGAGGTTTTGCCTTCTCGAAACGCGAGAGGCTCGTTTTTTCACATCGAGCTCTGGCAGGAGGTTTTGTCTGGGCTTGTTGCAAGCCTCGTTCAGCCCGTCCAAGCTCACCCTACGACGTATTCCTTCGTCTCGTTCCTCGGAAGTGGCTGTACCTCATGCTCGGAGCGTCTTGCTCTGAAAACCGAAGAAGCTTCACTCGTCTGTATGAGGATGCACCATCGCATCCAGCTGGGAGCCCTTTGAGAGAAAGCGGAAAGGATCCTCGGACATCAAGCCCTGTCTGATATGTATTACGTTCGCTACACAAGAGATTTACCACGCTGCGCTTCGACCCGAGAGTCGCTGTCCCGAAGCCGGGTACCGGCCATGTCAAGTGGGAATCAAGATCCGCTTACCATAACACGTCGTAGCACCGTGCAACGACTCTTTGTACCGGGGTGATTTGGGGATGGGATCAGGGTGGTGTCAAGGAGACTCCAAGCCTAACTGAGGAATCAATCATCATCAGATATGGGATAGATCTTCATCCCGAAGATGGCTGGATAGGCTCTGTCTAATGCCTAGTAGTTTTTTGGCCGAGGGAGGCACGGCTTCGAGAGGAAGAGTGTCGAACTGATCTCGGTCGCTTGACCGAGGATACCCTCCAATCATCAAACCAGGTGGACAATTCAAGATAATATTTCATGAGGAGACGCAGAAACCGATGGACTTGCGCTGAGAAAATGATCACTCTCAATAATCACCCCTACAAAATACATATATATACAAAAGCGAATGTCTGTCTGTTCGTCTGTGTTGTAGTTGCTCATGCATTTCTGATCCGCGCACTGGAAACGTCGAGGATCGACTCACTCAGTATTCTGCGAAGACATTCCAGCACCCTAGAGCGCACGAGTGTCACTCTTGACGTGACGATTTTCGACTTGGTGAGGATTCGAAGCCAAAAGCGGGGTTCTCAAGCTAAGATCGGGACGGCGTTCCCGGCGCCCGCCCCGGGCACGAGTTCGCCCCGTTCCGCCTAGCCATCGGAAACAAACATCACGCCTAGATCATAGCGGCTGTGAGAATACCACGGCAAACAGACGGAGTATGCAATTTACCACCCTCGCGTCTTCCATACGACGCGAGAGTCGAAACTTTAGAGCCCGAAAGAAACGGGATGGCCTATGTCGGGCTGTCCTCCTCGTCCCGGAGTCAAAGTTCATTCAAGAGGATCGCCTCGGAACCCAACAATGGTCTGCTTGGTAGGTACACAACCTTGAGCAGCAGAATGTTTGCGTACCGTTAATCGCACATGCTCTCCTGGCAATACCTACGAGAGTGACGCGCTCTCGTGAGGATGCGCTCAGCTCTCGCACTGGTCGGCTGGACCGCGTTCAGAATTAGGGTGCTCTGCCGTGGCAAGACACGTTCGACTCCTCTTTCGATATTGCCGATGTCGGCGAAGGTCAGAATGATTCGTTCGTCCTCGTTCGCCGTTGCTTCTCCACAAGCTTCGTAGTGCCGGATTTCGCGAATCGATCCTCCGACCCTTTCGTGCGGTTATCGACTCACTCAGTCTTGATGCGATACCTCGACGCTAGAGGAGGCGCAAGCAGATCCCCTGAACGAGAGAATTTGCTAAGCGGGACCCTTTGCTTCCGATTTCCGGACTGACACCTGTGAGCATCGCCAAGAGTTCGCCCTAACGAAATGGGAACTTAGACCCTCTCCGGTAATGAGCAAAGCACCTGCAAAACACAGTCTTCGTTGCACGAGGTCAGCGTGGCCATGGGAATTCTCTTGAAGCATTCTTCCATGATCGATAGAGCATCGACGACTCCCTGATTTGGAGGAGCTCTGAAGGGAGCTCTGCGCAATGTGTTATCCTATCGAGTCCACACGTCCAGAACCATGTTCCTCACGCTAGACATGCAAGATGATCCCGTGACAGCGACGAGCCCGAATACCTGCTGTACATGTGCAAATGAGCTGCTCTGAGGAATCGCGAGGAACTTCCACCTTCTGTCCCCCCCGGATCTAGCCTTCCAGATGTCGTACCCCAGTATGTCCAGAGTCCAGAACGATCACTTGCGGAGTACCTAAGGTCTTCGTCAAAACCAGGTCGTTCATTGCTGTATCAGTGTGTTCTGACAGTTTCAGGATGGAACTTTCTGAACTAGTTGCTCCACTCCGCCGGCCCGGACCTTCAGACCCAGACCCACAGATGATGTATGGGATGATATCCGATCTGGCCAGTACGGCCGCCTATCTTCCTTGTTGTTTTGATTAGCGTTCCGGGCAACGTTTCCGCATTCCTTCCGCGACCGTTTCTAGGGAGCAAGCGTACCCAGGAGGATCGAGCCCGAATACCTACCTACTTTTCCGTAAGGAATACTCCTGCGGCGGCAGTTATCGAACCCTCGCCGCCTGCCGCGCGACTGGCTTTACTACACTTGAGTGTGAAAGCGGTTTCCCTCGAACTTGAGCCCTCGACCACAAAAACGTTTTCAGGGATTTCCTAGCGACCGATGCCCCTTCAATTTACCCCATGGGATCTGTCTTCTTGGTAGGTCCATTCGTCCGCCAGGCCGTAAGCGACTCTCCCTCTTCCGGCTTCGCGTATGTTTCTCCCATATCTCTTTTCACGCGTCTGATCAGTGAATCACAGCCATTTATTATGAGGAAGGGATTATTTTGGGGGAAGTGTTGCAGAGCTTTCTCAATGGATAGTCGAGAATTATTGTTCCGTAAAAATAAGCCATCTCTCCCGGTAAAGGAGCCAGTCGGCTGTAAGGGCCAGGATGAATCTCGCCCGTAATGTTTGTTCTGAGATCATGCCGGAGACCTCATGAGTTTATTCCCTTTTTCAACTCGCCCACGTCGCGTCGACTCAATCGGATCTCTATCGTCATCTATCTGATAGAAACAAATTTAGAATACCATACCTATCGGTAAATCAACATCTCCCTTATAAACAATGGTTCATGCCCTTCCAAGAATATGGAATAGGGAAGGAACCTCAAGGAGGATACTCCTCATAAGATTTCTCCATATAACGAATCATGGGAGCACTTTTAAAGTATACGTCAACCGATGAGATAAATATGGAACGAGCGTCATTCTAATGAGTGTACCGATAAAGCAATGTCTTCATCCCGAATCAAATTCATCTGAATTGAGAACGAGAATAAAATTCCGCAAATCGTCCTGCGGGAAGGCTACCTGGAGCCTCCGGAATCGCGTTTGGCGGCGCCGCCTCCGCGCGACTTCCTCTTCACGGGCTTCGCGATCTTCGGCTCGCGATGCTGTGCGCGTGTCCTAGCACCGACCTCGTGAATCAGTTTGTGACTATTTAAATTGCTCTTTTGGATGAAGGCTGCCCCGCATTGATCACACGAATAGGGCTTCTCTCCAGTGTGCCGTCGTAGATGGTTGTCCAAATGACTTCGTTGCCTGAACTTCGCTCTGCACTCTCGGCACGAATACGGCAGTTCCCCGGTATGTCGTCGAACGTGATTGTCCAGAGCACTCTTCTGTTTGAATGCCGCCTCACACTGGTCACAAGCAAATGGTCTCTCCCCGGTATGAACACGCATATGGTATTTGAGATTGATCTTCTGTCGAAAAGTTTTTCCGCATTTCTCACATTCGAAAGGCCGCACCTCAGCAGCAGGGACGGGGCTGCTCGGCTGCTCGTGCTCCTTTTTCTCGGATTTGATACGGGTCTGACTCGTTTTTTCAGCATGCAACTGCATGTGAATTAACAAATAGCCATTTGTTTTGAATTTTGCATCGCATTTGAGGCAGCGGAGGCGTCGCCTCCTCCCACCTTTCATCCCTTCCGGGATCGTTTTGGATGAATTAGGCTCCGGACTCCGACCAGAGTCATTCTTTCGAGTGTTTCTAGTTTCCGGATTCTTCTGGCGATAGGCATCGACATTGTCTGAATTGACTTCTTGCTTCACATTCATGAGACACCAGTAAACAATCGGTCTGGGCATGGTGGAACTTCGTGCACGATTACCGTTGCTGCGATACCTCAATCTCTTGGAAGATGCCTGGAAAAAGAATGTATGGCAGCATTCGATCGATTTCAACAAAGTTAGGAGACCGGAATGAAGCCACAGATTCGAGAGCCTCCTGCCACGCAGAACGCAAGCCGTTCTGGTGAGAAATTGCGTGGATACTCACTGTAGCATATGAATTAAGAGTTGATCAGCGTTTCTAGATTTTCAGACGGACTCCTCGCTGGTCGTCGGAGGCTCATCCAATCGATGCCTCTCGAACAAAACTGATCCCGTTCACGGCTTAGTCTCGACGCAACTTCACGGAACTCCGGTGTCATCGAGTTGTTGGGCTTACATAGAACTGTTGTAAGGGCTGGTGCTCCAGCGCGAAGTGGACTTGTAACAATGGCAACTGAAAACGATATGACACGATATTCGCGCTCTGTGATGTAAACATCGGCCGATCCCTCGCCACACCAAGAGAGCTCCCGCGATCGTCGGAGAGAGTTCCAGTCTGGCGCTTGAATTCGAAATCGCTTGAACTGGGGGAGCCTCGAGAGAAAAACGGGCATTCATCACCCGCGGTTGGAATTCCGAGGCGCACCCCACTCGGAGAATCTCTCAAACGAGCCGTCGGTATTCACGGGTTCCGGCGTCGCCGCAGAGACTTCGCTGTGGAATTCATTTCTCAATCGGATCTTCAAGGGGAGACATTAGGACCCCTGGACCGCTGCAGTATTCAGGAGGGAGTATGCTAATTGAGAAGAAAGGAATTGCAATCGGGAACCGCGAGAGTTGACTAGCTGGAACGTGTGCTCGAGATAACCTGAGAATTCACCGTGATCCCCCTCCTAAGCTCGAATGCTCCCAAGGACAGTGCGAGCGTTCTGATTGTACGCAACTTTATGACCGCAATGGTTGCGATATAGAGACCCACCATCACGGACCTCCCTGAGAGATCCGAAGGGTTTTTTTCTGCAGCATTCATTCAGCGGTGGAGATCGACCATGGTTCAGTCGCTGGAACAGACGAAAAATCAGTCCCGAAAAATGTCTCCCGCAACGCAGCAGACCAACTCATGTCGCGTTGCGACATAGAGACCCACCATCACGAACTCTGAAACTCAGATTCGAGCAAAAGCCACCACCCGGGCTTCGTGGATGATACCGCGATCAATTAATCAGCAGCGCCTCCACCCGTCAAAGATTCGAGATGAACCCACGAGAGGGGGAAGGGAGCTGGAATTCCACGATCGTCATCGAAGCAACGATGGGGGAGGCATGCTTTGTTACAGAATACAGAAGAAACGGAGTCTTCTCGATCAGCTCTTCGACTTTGCTAGGAGAGTCCGACCTCTTCTCCTGCTCTCGTCCGCTAGACATGATTCATCGTCTGGCATCCAACGTTTCGCGGATCTCTGCAGGAATGCTCGAGGCATTCCGCCTGGATTCTTGGAAGTAGAATGAGGCCATCGATTGTTACCACACCGAGGAACGTGCCTACCCCGGGAGCAACACCTACGCACTCGAAGATGAAATATCGTGATCAGAGGGAAACTAATCGAGAGAGTTGATCTGCGAGAATTAACATGATCCCGCAGAGATACGGGACTGTACACGGCGAAAAAATACGATTTCGTGCCCATTGTCACTGTACAATTCATCCCCGACGCTGAGCCTTCCTCATCGGAGAAAGATACTGAAATGACGAACAAGCTGTCTTCGGCATCGGGAAAATGTTTAGTAGTCGGACCCTTTTGCACTGGGAGTAGAAGTTCCCCCAGCATCAAAATCAATTCGGAGGAGGACTTCAGGCGAATCGGGCTCTGGTTCCGCCTTGACGAACCGCCGGGAAAGCGCCGCATCGCTGATAACCTACGCAGGCGGATGCATGCGCGTTTTGCCCCGGCTACGTGCGAGGAGCCGATCATATGTTAGAGGCAGAGCAACAAAAACGATCGAGGGCTTCACATGTTGACGCCAGAACGAGCTCCGGGACACGAAAATGTCGTTGGACGATTTGTCTAAGGAGGACGCGATGGACTTGCTCCAACAGACCAGGTTTAGACTGACTGCTTGACTGTTTTCCTCAGACTCCCAGGCGGGAGGGGTCGACGATCATGGAAGGGCTTTCTCATTGAAATGTTTCCCGATCAGGTACGAGCTAGAACGTTGTAAGAAATCGCTCGCTTTCAAAGAAAGCCTCCTGGTCGACCTGGAGTTCGAAGTGAGCGACCTTGCTCGCGAGAACCAACAACTTCGGTCTGATGTGAAGTGCCACCGCCACCAAGAAATGCGACGGAAATCTCTGGAGCTGGGGAATTCTATCTATGAAGACACCCCGAGAACCCAGCCACAGAGCTGGAACCCTGACACTCCACAGAACCTTGAGGGCTCCAATCGTTTGCCTGACAGAGCGAAGTCCCCGGCTACCTGTAAGAAGTGTCGACTCTCTGACATTGAAAGGAGCGACTTGACGAGCGTGATTGAAGAGCTACACGATGAGAAGGAACGTCTGACCAAGCTCAATCAGCGCTTATTGAGAACCCTCGATTCGAAATCCGCGCAGGTATGAATGATTCTCAGATTGGGCTCGAGAAAAATTTCCCATCATTCTCATTCATCAGGAGTCCTCTTCCAGCTCGAGGAGATCAGTGCTGATGCTTCGAAAGAAAAAGCTCTGCGGAGAACTCTGGAAGCAAGCATAGAGTTCTTGACGGTGGAGAAGGAGCTAGTTGAGAGGGATCTCCGAGACTTCCGCGAGTCGAGCCTCCCTTTTGCGCGCCTATCTGATGTGAGAAGCTAGAATGACTCTTACCACCGCGAAGCTTCATGATTCCGTTTTCCCGGTTGACACTCGGCGAACTGTTCCACTGGTTGGTCCGCCTGAGACGGGGGCGATCACGAATTCCAAGAGATGATTCTGGTCAAAATTTGGGTCCTCACGGTTTCAGGTAACCAATCGAGGGATGAGTCTCGGAAGCTCGCTCGGCGAAGAGCTGGGATTGGGCAACGGAAAATCGATTTCTGGCGAGGTATCTCCGCTTCTGTTCCTCTCTCGAACTTTCCTTGAGCCTGTTTTTCTTTTCTGATATCTCAGTATCAGTATATAGGATATGACGGTTGAGAAATAAGACAAGAGGATGATAAAGGAATCGAATCAATATTGGCTAACGACTCCTTGCTTCAGCGGAAATTCTCGCTGCCTGCCAACTGGAACTTGGATGATATCGAGCACGATGGCATTAGTAGTTTTGACAATTTGGACGATTTGGGAGCGAGGAAGAGTTTTCCGGAAGCTTCGAAGCCCTCGGGTTAGGAACTCGCGCTTTGTGGCTATCGAATTTCACGTTTACTCTCTTCAGTAACGCCGGATGCTTCCCGTTCCGCAGGAATAAATCGCATACCGCTCCACGACATTGACGAGGAAAATCATGAACCCAAGAAGATTGGTGCGAAACGCGAGAGATCTAACCAAGACGAGGTCGAAAACGATTGTGAGGATCAGCTGGAGAACCTTCCTACTGAATCGCAGACGGCAAGTAACTTTGGAGACTGATGGAAAGCTGAAAATCAGCCTTAGAGCAGCGTGAACCGGCAAACGGTAGAATCGTGAGACGCTGCGCTTGCTTTCTAAGGTCACTTTAGATGATCTCTGATTCCAGCCGGTTACGTGTCTCGGGTGGCGTTCCCTGGTGTGCATGCCCTATCGACGTTTGCTGAAGCGGAAACGTCATTGATGAATTGACGTTCACCGAGGACCTCTGATGCGGATCTTCACGATCCGGGGCGATTTCCAGACTCGGCCGGTGGGACCCCATTGTACGAAACTGACCCAGCCCGGATGTACCCCGATTGAGCATCCATGTCGATGCATAAATGCCCCCTAAACCGCCAGGTCCTCTGTCGAATCTCTTGCCTCTCAACGCTAAAACGCTCGCTGATGTTCCATTCACGTGTTCTGTGACAGAAAGACAAAGCTCTTGAGAAGACCGAGGTCAGAGTTGTGCTTCAAAGTAGCGAATCGTTCCCTGATTTTGTATTTTGAAATTAGTTCTGAAGTCTCTCGATGAGTTTCCACGAGGTCCGAATAATACAGTCCGACCTTCCCGGATAAAACGAGAATAAAAAATCTTCTTTTGAATTCGGAGGGAATCGCTCCAATCCAGGAGAGAGAGAGCGATTTTTTATTCGTCGCCTGCTGTATTCCCAAGAGATCTAATAACTCGCTCGAACTAACCTCTCCGGAACTCTCCCGTTGCTCCGGAGGGAGGTCCGCGCTGAAGTGAATACGGGTCTCGAAAGTCTCCGAATGTAGCCTGTGATTTTATTTAGAATAATAATTATTATCATAACATGAATCGTTCCAGTAATATTACACAAAGCGCTGTATTCGTGATGTGGATTACATTCATATCCCAATATATATTTGTATCTACTTATATACTCAGTTAAATCTCTCTTCCGTTCAATTCATAGATATAATGATCATTCGATGATAGTTTCATTTTACAGCAATATATGTGCGATGATTGTTTTGATTTTACGAAGTGTCAGAGACCTGTTTGGGACTGTCGAAAATTACGCACAATCGATTTTTGGGAAAATGCTGGATGGGAAAACTTTCAGTGAATGGAAAGACGGCAACTCGGAATTCGGAACAGGAGCCGTGAATGGGGATCGAGTTTCTTTGCACTCACTCAGAGTCGATCCGCAGAACACCCAACCCGACATTGAGGACACTCAGAGAGTGTCGGGGGAGCATACGTCTTCACATCGCTGTAGCCTACATGAGGAGGATTTCAACTATTCTTCTCTGTCCGCTCCGTGGGTAGTCTGAGCAGTGAAGAGGGAGAGAGGTTGGAACTCGCTCGATTTTGGCATAGTACAGAAACAGACCACCGGAAGGAAACCTCAAAAGAATCCTAGACGTGAGGGAGTTCCTACGGTGTCAATTGAGAATGAGCGCAGACTCAGAGAATATGAAGTCTCCGTCTCCCTATATCCTTGGTCTGGCGAACCAGCTCGCAGAAAGGTGTAGTCACAGGGACCACGGTGGGTATCCTCCTTTGCATCCCTCTCAGAGAAATACATTATCTCAAATAATTCTCCTTAAAAAGCTATCACGTATTAAAACGCGTTTTCCGAAAACTCGTGCACCGTCAGGTGAGAACGATCCGTGATCGGCTTCCAGACTGTAAATATTGCACTGCGAGTAGATCTTGGCAGACGTTCCACAAACTGCGGAGGCGGACCTCGGTGATCATATCTCCAGAGGATCGACGATCCACCCCGAGCTTCCTCTTGCGTCTCTGGAGTGATTCATAGTCGTCTGAATTGCAATTTTAATTAAGTACTAACAATTATGAGTCGTCCGAACAACAAAAAACAGCCGACGCCGATTTCTCTAAGCGAGATCGCTCTCGTCCTCGATACGATCACGGAGCTTGCGATTCGCACAAAAGGGCGCAATCGATCTCCGAAATATCTCCGTTATTTCGCATATGTAAACTCTACAAATAGCTACAAAACATCAACAGAAAATATACTGCACTTGTCGAGACGATGGTTCCGTTGGAAAAGTTTCTCATGACGGGATATGATGTCCATAACATGTTGTTCGCAGACTAGAAAATCTCGTGACTTCTCGTCTTGACTTCGGCGCATCTGAGTATCGATGCGACTAGGTGATTCTAGCATGAAACTAGCGATCAATATGCTGACGAGAATTCAGCGTCGTCGATGACAGGGTCCTAGATCTACCCTTACGAACCTCCGCATCGACGTTCAATATATGCACGAATGTAGATGATATAATAATTAGGTATAAGTTGTTCATAATAATTTATGCTTACATATTCAATATCTCAATACGTGTGCTATGATAAGCACTCAATGTGATCGGCAAGCTAATTCCTTTCAATGTGGGCACGGTAGTGGGTGTGTGGTATGTTTAAGTAGAATTACGAACAGACGTAATGCGCAACAATTGCAGTGTCGATACAAAATCCGGGTGAGAATTTCCGCATCGATCGAGGTGGAGCCCTTCTCGTGTACGTCACCCTGATGGCTGAATCCTCGGAACAACCTCTTCGGTACGGCGTCTCCGCGTCCGCATGGTTGACCATTTGAAATGGACGTCGATCCGAGAACAAATACCCAGATTCCGTCTTACATCTCTGATAGAAGTCTGATCTCAGCTCATGCTTGCTGTGGAGCGCGGAGTGCGAGTTACGGCTCCGCACGAGCAAGCTCTCCTCCTTACGAAGAGTCCCCTTCAGAGGACTCCGATGGGATCCATAGACTATTCCTTTCATATCCCGTCTCCAGCGACCTAAATTCGGGGAACGAAAGTCGCTTTCCCTCGCTTCGGGTGTGAAACGTACAGATCGCTCCTATTCCGTGGATTTCGCACCAAATTACGCGGCACCGCTAGGACCCCGGTAGGGAAGGTCAGCAGGAAGACAGTGCAGGAAACGACGTATAGCTCAAGATCAACTACCCGACTTGAGAGTATGAAACACGATCCAGTGTATAGAACGCTCTCAAGTCGGTATCGTTCAATATACAAACTCCCAACGAGTTTTGTTCCTTCCACAAAAATGTAGCTATAGCGATTTGTCCTAGCAGAATGGAACTTTTTAATAATATTGCGAATTCCTAGTAGTCTACGAGCGTCGACACTGAAGACCTCGGAGCTCCCACATAAAAAACTCAACTGCCTCGCTGGTTGACGGAAGCCAACCACTGATTCCATCTTCGTGACTTCGATCGAGGGGTTTCCGACGCGAGTTGACTGTTGCATCTTTGGCCCACACGCAAAATGTGCTCTCCCCCTCGACGATTTCCAAAGACTAGCCTGAGAAACAGCTGCTCGCAGGCGCTCATCGGAAGCGAGCCCCCGTGTCGACTCCAGTAGGATAAAAAACTCCAACAACTAAGTTCACAATCTTCAAGTTACACATTGGATAGCAGATCGACTCTACGCAACAGCTCCAGTATCATTCCCACAACTGCTCAGAGGCTGAGAGTGGACGCTTGATCGTTCGACGATAGCTCGTTGCCAAATTCGACTAGAGTATACGCGGGCCCCGGAGGCCCGGACTTATGTCACTCGGACGTCAGGAAACTTGCAAGATGATAACGGTTGCAAATATGCGGTCTCACGTCTTCACTCCTTGCCACGAGACTCTCTAGAAACGGGAGGAGTTTCAGGAGTTCCCGGTCGTTCTGATCGACGAACCAGGATTCGATTGGGATGCCATTTTCGAGTTGATAGCCGAAGGCTTGCGGTGAGTTGTCGATGATAATTGTCCTCGAAAGATCTCGACCTAGTATAGACAAGTCCTTGATGTAATTGCCTGCTACGCAAACGCAGTGTTCCCGAAATAGACGATATCTGGAAAGGGAGAGTTACATTAGGCATCGCTGGCTGTCTGGGCGAAAAATCCTGAGCCGGAACCCGGCGGAGAATATCGGAAGAGCGGTGGTGCCTGCTGACCTAATGAGATGGCGTTTCGGGTCTAGTAGATCGAGGAGCTTGTCGGCGTAAACTTTTTTCGATGCGGTGAAGAGAATCACCTCGAACATCTTGGAAACTCGTTCGAGAAACTCTCGGAAGAAGGGACGTGTGCGTACGTAAACTTTATATTCAATTCCTTGGAAGAGTACAGGGAAAGTGAATGTTGCTCCTTCAAGCTCCATCAAACTGCAGTGGACCAGTGTCTCGTCCTGGAAAATTCGTTTCTGCTCAGTTGGAGCATGAATTCATCATAGCTCGGGAATGCGTCCGGGTTGATGAGTTGGTGATGATTCAATATCTGAGTAAGAAGTATTCGCTCACCAAATCGAGGACCAGTGAGAATTCCGGAGCGGATCGTGTCTTGAGAGGCAAGGCTGGGCAACGCGCCCGCATCTCCGCCGTCAAGGGCGGCAGGTTGCGGATGAATGTGTACAAATCGAAGGTATCCCAAGTTGGAGATTTCGATGCTGTGGTCCCATCGTCGTCTGACTCCTGCGTTGCGGTCGTCTGCATGCCGTTGATGGGCATGACGACTCCATACGTCTGCGAAAAAATCCGTTAAACATTCCGATAGACGAGATCCGAGGCTTGAAATTTGGGGATGACAGTCTCCATTCTTGGAAGCACTGACGAGAAGCACTGGCTGGTTGAAGACTGGCAGCTTGAGATTCTCCCGAAAATTACCCCGCACCCGAGTACAAGGCCCTAAATCGAGTCTCACCTCGTCGTGGTTGCAGGAGGTGTCGAATGATGGGTACGTCGGAGCTTGTTCGTCCTGACTAGAAATGAGGACAATGTCTTCGTCAACATACGTCGGGAGCGATTGTATGTGTCCTTGGCTGCAGCCACCCTGAGACGATGCGGTTGTTGATGACGAATCATTGTTCAGTTCCGATTCGTCAATGACGATATCGGCCGAGTCGTCATCGCATTCGATAAGGCTCTGGAAGCCGAGCTTGGCGTCTGAAAGAAGAAATCCTTCCAGTCCCTCAGACGGCGAGGCGGTGACGTGCTCCTCCCGGCTCCCAGGGCCCAGGGTTGATATACGAAATCTTCCTCATAGAATCCGTTTCAATTATCGACGGAGAATTTTCCATTGACTTCCCACCCGACCTCAAGGAGACACAGCTCAAGGACTCTCGCGGGCTCACCTTCATCGAATATGTGGTAGACCGGTGAGAAAATCTTCCCTCCCACCCCGGGGGTGGGGATGCTTGCGGGCTCCGCCGTTGTAGTCAAGTTTGCGGACGCAGACGCGTCCTCTTTTTCACCGATGCAGTCTGGGCGATTTGCTCGAGGCTTAACCGGTTACAACTTGCAACTCATCCTTCCCTGGAGCTCACATGATCTGATTCCCTGTAACCAATGGGAGAATAAAATGTTGTTATTGTGCGGTAAATCTCAGCCGATCAGCTTGTGAAAACCTCTAGCCACGATGAGTTACAGATAGCGCCCAGTCGACGAGAACAGAACCTCAACGGAGAAATCCGGAGTTCGTAGATTGTCAATGCGGAGCCAGCTGAATCATGAACTGACGTTTCCGAAATGAAAGCGATGGCTTGGTGGTGATTATGAAAGACTCCCACAGCCTTGCGCAAGTTTCTGACGGCGCGGCGAGCGGGAAGGCTGAAGCTTCCGCCTAACCAACGATCACATTCTTCTCAGAAAGAAACTGTGTCACGGCGCTGGATATTCGGTTGGAGCTTTGAATAGTTTGGCGGCTTCGCCCGTTGTCCCTGGAGCGGATACGCAAGGATTTCCCCACCACGTCGATGACCGTAGTTTTAGCCTGTGGGGCTTTGAGGACGTTCCTGAAGATCGATCTGAGCTCCGGAATTCTCCCGGATACAATTTACCCTCGAGTGATTCCCCTTCCATTCCTGGGGGAACATAGGGAGCATTTGGCGTGCCCTCCTTCACTCCGCCCCCATCTTCCCGAGAGAGAGATACGAGCAATACCCTCACGAAAACAGAACGACAAAGCAGTGCTGGAAATCAGTGGCAATAGCGAGCGGGATGAGCTGAATCGGCGCTTCAAAACGAAGCCGCCAGCCAGCAACAATGGCTGCTGTGAATTGGCTCCACGCGGCTCATCATCAACGAAGACGAAGAGCAAGCAGGTCACCAGTCAAGCTCAACCGAAACACGAAACTTCGCCCCGACGTGAAATCCGCGACACCAACGGTCCGACGCTAACTAGCGCATGCGAGAACGAAACTTCCGAAATATGGCGTTGGCGAACGGAGAACTTCTCACAAGTGCGCTTCTCGGCGCCATCCGGACCCACTGCTCGGAAACCATCCCCCTTGATGCGGCGTTATCCGAATTGTTTCCTATCCGTATTATCCTGTACGAAAAATGTTTCCCCTATTTCCGGCGCAATTATGAACTTTCAGATATGAGCCCCCGCATCCTTCTCCGTCTACGTTTATTCCGCCTAATGATGATCCGTCACTCATGTGATACTTCCGACGATGTTCGGGAAGATATTCCGGCAAATCCCTCAGATATTCCCCAGAATAGTTATCATGTAGTTGCCAGAGAATCGGGACTCTCCTCCCTCATGGTCGGGGATTCCCGGTTTTCATGAAATCGAACTTTGTGCGGAATGTCGCCGGTCGAGTCTCAAACTACCGGAGACTGAAATCGGCTCCCGCTGGTCATAGATGGCGCACCTGTGGCCGACAACCTGAGCGCCATGGAAGTGAAACGAGCAGGTCCAGCAGACTCCTTTAATATTTAGACCAAGTATTAATTCATTTCACTTTCATTTTCGCAGTTGGGTTCGACAACCGATCCGTCGCTCGCTCGACCGACCGACCGCCTTAGAACCAGCCACCCGCCGCGCCGTAAGAACGGATGACTCACGTGAGGATTTGCCTAGCACGCTATATCGGCACTCGCCTCGATTGCGGTCGTGTTCTTTGTCTCTGTGTTAGGCAGGAAGATATCTCCCGGAACAGCGAGTCAATACTGCTACCAGCTACACAACAAACACAGCCACTGGATCTATCTGCTCCTCTCGCTGACAGACCGATAAACCGACCGGTTGACGGATGACGAATGGGGTGGATTACAAATTCCATGATAGCACCCCATCGCTGGTCTATATCGATCAGCAGCTGCGTGACTCCGAATCTCTACACTCGGCGTACGTATCATGGAGGAGGCATGCCTTGTCAAGTCAGAGATCAAGGCTCCAATAGATTCATCATGGGGTCAAATTCCGGGAGTTTAGGGATCGAAGCATCAGAAAAGCAGAAAAGAATCACCGACGACGGAAATGCGGAAGCAGAACTCGATAATGTTCCAAGGTTACGTTTAGGTCCGTTCTGCCAGACATGACTCCGTTCTTCCAACTGAGCGAGCCCTGTTGTTCATCCGGAGCAATCCAATTCCCGCTGCTCCCACGACCGTCAAGTCATTTCTGTGAAGTTTCAAGCAGACGTTCCGGAGAGAGGAAGAAACTCATTCTAAACGGCAGCTTGCCTCATCGTCCCACAATACAGAGGTATTGGTACTTCATCGATCAGTCACCGTGTTTTCGACCGCTACAATTTTCGCTCCGACTGAAATCCTCGGTCGTTCTGATTTTATCAGAGGGCAATAAGGGCCCGACATCAGCGTAAATACATCTCTAAAGAGCGGCGCCTTGATAAGCGACGTGATCCGGCATTCTTTGACGGCAAGATCCGAGGTGCGCTAGCCTCTATCCGGAGCCTTAGGCTGATTTTCACAGATTGACTGCCCCTGGACCACTGGGCATGAGAAGTTTTTTCCGGGTACCTAATACATCCGAGTCCTGCAGTCAGAATCTGAAAGTCCTTCACGATTTGGAGATCAACTCATCCAGCCATCGGCGATTGTTCACGGAAAGAGGACGCACCGTGGAGTAGAGCAGCCCGCAACGACCTTATCATCGGAGAAACGAGTCTTCAGTGGTTTCAGCGGCGCGCACCGATCGTCAAACAGTCGGATGCGTCGTCTGTCAACGAATGCGGATACGCGAAGGAAGACATGAGCCGAAGAAGCCGCGGTCAGAGGTATGCGGTGGCAGGTGGAAGCGAATGTGTTCGGAACAGCGAAATATTCCCTCTACACCACCTGTGACACGACATCGCGCGCGTACGGTCGGCCATCGAAGCGAGAGTACCTATCGCTAAAACGTGACGGTACAGGTTGAGCGAGCCCGGTGACGGCGGACAAGCAGACCGACGGTCGGTCGGACCGATGGATAGACGGACGGACAGACGAAGGGATACACAAGCACTACTACCGAGAGACCGAAACGAGAGACGAGCGGTGGCGGGCCGCCTAAAAACTACCAGTTCGAAAAGACTCATGGACCGGAGCACCAATTCCCCCGCTAGGAGAAATATCACTAACGGAGCATTATCGCGTAGAGAGTAAATCCCCGCGCTGAGATTCGCCACTGGGAGGAATGCGATACGAGTTGAGCGCGGAAGTATCTCGCAAGAGGTTCCTCGAGCACGCGAGCATGAACTCGATACCAGGCATTGATGCGATGCACTTTACAAATACAAAACACCCACACAGAAGACCTTGGCATGGAACGGTGTCGAAAGCAGGAAGCTACGAGCTGGCCATACCAGCGTCAACAGTCAACCTCGCAGAGGCAAAAGCTTCGTTCGAAGATGACTCATGTGGCGCGAAACGCTTTCGAACAGTTTCGAGGAAAATCATCGATCTAGCCACTGACGACAGAACGTCCTCGCCGAACTGTCTCGAGACCACTTGACGCCGCAAGGTAAACAAATACAGTCCAGATCTTCGAGCCGGTTGGTTCTCTCCTTCCGCAAACACCTCATTTGACGGCGAAGCCGCCGCTACACTTCCGAGTCACACTTTTCACTTACCTCTCATGCCGATCCGGTGCGAGCTCGTTCGAATGATGCTGCTCTTTTGTTGGTGCTGTCGTACACTTGCACTCTAGGGAACACTCACACGCACTCACGCGGGATGCTCATCGCTTGGTCGATGAATGCTTTGCCGCCGTTGCCGCCGTGGTCGTCCCGCCACCAACACCTGACCCACTTGGAAACGTATCCTCGGCTCGGGTCGGCTCAGACACCAATCCAGAGTTCGGGGAGCATGAGACACTGCTTGGGAAACGGGATGAGGAGCTGAAGCCACTCGGCCGCCGGGCAAATGAGGACGTGCTGACCGTCGCCTTGGCTCGCCACCATTTCTATAAGAACGTAGCTGGTTGCTCCTGCATCTCCTCAGTGCCACCGAATGTGATAGAGAGAGCACTCGGCGACGTGGTCAAGGATGTGATCTGTCGTGGAAGTGGAGCCGAGCTCGGCGCCAAATAGATCCTCGGCGATAATCGGCACGAGGAGATTCGGACTTCAGGAATCTGGGACAGGACGTTCGGGATCCGGTCAGGGCATTGGATAGAAATACCGGAATTCATTGACAGGCGGAAATCGACGTCGTGAGTCCCGATGCGCCCCCTCCAAAGCATGGGCGGTGCGCGCGCAGTCGAGGCGGAGCGACCGAACGGTGCCCGAGGGCCATCGTGTGCTGCTGCTAGCTTGACTGCCGGGCTTGCTTGCTTGCCTACCCGCCTGCCATCCAGGCTGTTAGGTACGATAAGTGAGCGTAACCGTCCCTAGTTTTCAGAAGGAGCTACACGGGTGCAGATACTCAAATCTAGATAAACACGCCGTCTACCCGCGCCTTCCCTCGCCAGCCTGCTCGGCAGTTCCAGAGGTGACGGCAGGGGGCTGCTCCCTCCAAATACGCGATCAAGATGAGTCAGATGACTCTCAAGCGGAAAATGCGCCAAATCACGATCGAGAAAATTATCTCCTCCTCTCTGCACATCACCCTTGAAGAACCCCGGAAGACGAACAAATGATTACTGAACTCGGAGAGACGTACCGTGTGGAATTCTCGAGGATTTGAATGAATTTCGCGAGGATCTTCACGGAGCCCGTTCATAATTATTCGGTCGCGTATGGGTTGCGGCTCGGGGATCGAAGGGCATTCAGAGTACGAGCAATGCAGGGCACTGATCCACGGATCACTTCCGTCGTCATTTTATCGCATTGAAGGATTTAAATCCAGATCATTCCTTCGGTTTGAGATGTCAATGCGTCAAGTATGTCTATTCTCGATTCTGTCTGGAAATCCCGTAGGCGGAAGATGCACTGTGTACATCGAGCTGAGGACGTTTTCACAAGTAAGGAAAGTTGAGTATTGGAATCGGATACGGGATCGCGATCATCGTTCGCGAGCGACAGCACTCCGGTTATTGCTCGAGGAGCTGTTTGGGCTGGATCTAGAATCTCGAGGATGGATCGAATGAGTATTCGGATAGGTTCTGCGAGGATGTGCCCTTTTTCATCATTTCCATTATGTCTGATAGAAACCGATGAACGCCTCCGATTAGGTTTATCGGATTGATTGGATCACCAGTATTTCCCCTGAACACATAGGTTCCGATTCCAGCCCCGGAACAGACCTCAAGATGTTGAGATCCCTCGACCCATAAGCTGATCCGGCATCAGTACTATGAGCTGAGTGATTCCCCCAATGCCCACGAGAGTTCTAAGGGCGGAATGTTCATTCCCGTCCATCTGCCTCGGAACATCCCCGATTTCCCCCCCTCGGGGCGCCCGGACACGAGTATCCGCCCGTCCCAGATGTATCATATTCAGTATCTGTGATTTTTCCTTAGTGCCCTGTCCCTCCATGAACGCATCGTGATGTCCCCAAACGTCAAGAACCGGATGACAGCCCAGAAGAGCCTTTAAGGTCATCGCTCAGAGCCGGGCTACACGTTCCCGAATGACGGCAACGTCCGACGTCTGACATCATCGAAAAAGCCTTCTAAGGCTCCATTGTCGTAGACATTTGAGCTTGCTTCCCCGAAGTCTCTTATGTGAATCTTTCGATTCTGGAATTATTAGGAGCTTGATTCCCGGGAACCTAACGGATTCCTCTCGAATGAATCGGACCGTAAGCAGTGTTTCTCATGTTCGGTCATTCGAGCATGCGGCGGTTCTGTCTCGAACTTTGGCCGAAATTGAGGAGCCGATTGTGTGTCGCGAGGCGACCGTTTCTGAGCTTAGGCTACAGCAGGCAGGCCCTTGCTCCGCGCGTGAATCAGCCGACGGAGTCGCGATTTCATTCGGTGTTCCCGAAAGCAGATCGGAATCGAGCTAGTAATTGATTTTGTCTCCGGAATTCCACTCGTAGGCCCCACGAACAATCTAGAATAATGAATCCGAAGTGGCACGTCGATGCTGTCGCAGGTGGGAGCGGGCACCGAGGCCGATGGGGACCTCGGCCTCTCTCCTCCAACCCCGGGCTGCTCCGAACGTTGAGGAGTCTGGACCTTCACAACGCGAAATAGAGTTGGGCTTTGCACTCTCGAGAGACTCTCGGGTTTTTCTCGCGAACACAATCTTGTGTAATTGCCTCGGACAACTTTCATTGAGGTCTCCGCCTCTACTCGCCGGCTTTCTTCCGTGGTCGCTGACAGAGTCGTGTAATGATCATCTCAAGTACCGCATCGGCGGACAATACCCCTCCCCCTATATCGGCAGATTATCTAGAATATCAGATTACTCGGGTTACTATCAGATTACTATGCGTTGAACTTATTCCCTATGACGATAGCAAACCATAGAGATCGGGGGTATTACAACCGTACTTCGATCCTCAGAGCGCGCGCAACACCGCGAAGTCGAGTTGCTACCGATGTCCGTGGCAGGTGGGGTACGTCTCGTCTTAGCCTCAAGTATCCACGATTGCAATGCTGGATTCCATCCACGACCCAGCGCGGACATTGAGTCCCAACCCCCCGGAATAGAATGGCACTGGTCTTGGAAATCACTCGCTACAACTTTATTGTGTATCAACCAGGTGAACTAATAGAAATCTTGTGTGAGCCAGCTTCCCGTAAACGAAATATACAGAGGAAGTCTGACCCTTACACGGTGTCAATATGCTGTCCGCTCGTTCGGCCGGTACCAAATTCCGGATACTAATCAGTGCTTCTGGCTTTGGGACTAACCGGGAGATTCGTAGCGACATACCGACGCTGAGGAAGGACTCCGTTCTGGCTTCAGCGTCATCAGCATGGGAATTGTCAAGTGCTGATACTTCGGTCTAACGACCGTGGTATCAGCACTACTGGTGTGGTATAGTGTGGTATACTCAGTTCTCGGACGAGGTAAAACGAAGGAAGTTCAACGAGCTGGGAGCAATGAGGAAACCCGATTCTAGCCTCGTGAAGATTTCCTAGGAGACAGCGATCTCTTATCGCGCTGGACTTGCTCCCGATGTAATAAATGGTGTATGCAGGCGAACGAATAGGTTTATAGTTGCTTCTTAGCGAAAGTGATTGGTCGGAGATATTGTATATATTATCTATTCGGAGGATGATTTGTGATGGATGAACAAATGATGTCATGGTAGATGAGTGATTGAAGACGCATTCCGTAGTCGCTGGCGATCGCCAGCAAACTAGACGACGATGTTCGTTGTAGATCACATTACTTCTTGCTGGCTTCTTTGTGGAAGTTGATGGCCATTGAGTTTATACAAAAGCGTTCTCTCGTCGGAAGAGGTCCGTCAGGAAAAACATGGCCGAGATGTGAATTACACTGGAATCGGAAATGGGTTCCCGTAGAAGGACATGCTAACGATGGAGTGTGAAGTCATTCGGGCCTGATTTTGGATGGCTTGGAAGATTCCGACGGAGCCGCTGTTCATTATGAGAATGGGTCCCGGCTAAATTCATCGCCTCCTGTGATGTTTCTCTCGACGTTCAATTATCAGAATACAGAGAATACATTCTAGGAGTACAGGGAAGATCCAGCGGTTCGAGATACCATCAAGAGCGTCAACGCCGACTTACTTTTCGACACGTTACTTCTACGCGCCGCATGCCGAGTGAATTGTCTTCTTTACGCACTACGGTCTCCTCTCCGTCCTTGATGTCGGTCTTCGCAGCGAAAAATGCCGGCCATCCGCAATTAGAAGCATATTTGTGTTCCGACCTAGAATTCGAGATACTTTTCGTGATTTGATAGCCGAGGAAGTCAGTGTGGGGCTGTGCTTCCTTGGAGTCGGACAGAGTCCAGAACTGACCCGGAAGTATATCGAGCATCATAGATAAAAAGCTCATTATATTTCTGTCTGTCCACGAACGTCCATTTCCGTCTGAAGCTTCGAGCTCTCCAGAACGGTGGAGACGTGGGATGATGATATGATAATCGAAACCGAGAGCTGTAGACTCCAGGTTCCAGATGCAACAGCGCGAGAAGAACAATGAAGTATTCCAAGAGAAGCGTCATCAAAGACTTTCTTCTTTTCTTGGCGACATCGGGAACATAAGGGGTACGATTCCACCGCCGAGCAACAGAGCGTTTCCAGCTCGTGAGTTTCGTAAACGGGGGGAAATTGGAAGTCACCCATTAGATCCTTGAGGGTTCTTCGATCCAGGGACTCGCAGAGGTGAACTTTTCTTTCCCCTTTGTTTCTCAAACTGTGACGCTCGTGCCGTGTCGCGCGCCGCTTGGACGCAAGAGCGGCTTGCTCCTGACACCTTTACACAAGACCAATGAGCTTCGATGAATGTTCTGGGTCCTGGGATTAGTGGAATTCGAACGAGCCCTCCTTCCGTCATGAGACCTAGGACGGGCTGAATTGAGAATGAACGAGAGCCGGGGAAAGACATCGCTGTGGTGAGAAGAAGATCATACTACTAATGGTGCTGGGAGCATTCATGAAGAAGAGCGCTTCGCGGGCGAACGGCCCGCCAGCGGCTCTGTGGTCTTGAGTCGGTGCTTGATGCCCAGGGCCGCTTCCTGGAATGATCCAGTTCGCTTAACGGAACGGGCAAAAGCGTAAAATGAATTTCTTCGCGCGAAAGCTCAGACTTGGATGCTTCGAGCCGAGTCTTCCGTCTTGGGACTAATCAGCCCCCACCGCCTCGATGCACTGTGCGCAGAAGAAGGAGCGAAATCCGAGATTTATCCGCGGCAATCGTCGGTGGGATATTCGTTCAGACAACGGGAGATACTCTGCTGGATTCCGAGGATGTAACTACATCAAATTTCGATTAAAGAGAGCCTTGCCAGCTTGTTGCGTACCGTAGAACCAGAATGGACCAGAAGCGATTCCCATGAGGAGCACTTGACACCGAGGGTTTCAACTCCGGGTGAGAATCATAGTAATCGAGTCGAATTATCATAACGCACACGATTACTCTCACTCGGAGCGGAATAATCAATGCTCGGGCGAGAAACTCTGAGTCACAAGCGACTTGAAGTTTCTGGAGATAAAGAATCCGCCGATCACCTGATCGAACTTTTCGGAGCCCGTGGACGGCTAACTGTTCGATGAGCTCTGGCGGTAGGCACGGGAATGCTCAGGACGCTCATGAGCTTTCTACGAGCGGGATTTAGCTGCTTGAACCATGAAAACGCCAAGCCAACACAATGGCTGCCGTTGCATAACAGCGGGAGTCATGACGACCACGGTAGAGCGATCATGAGCTCTTATCAAGGGTCCCACGAAGCTCGATCTGAACGGAAGGATTGAATGAAACACCACCCCGGAAGAGCACGCCTCGAAGATTTGACTCGGCAGACGCTCGAGATCTGAACGTGAACTCCGGTAATCGAATCCCGAAATCTCGTAATCCAGCCCACCACCGGACGAACCTGGAGCCGGCTGTCGATCGAGCAAGTCGTAGAAGCTGAGACCGGGGGAGCGAATTCGAGCCAAGATCCGGAAGCTTACATGTTCGTTTATGAAGCGGAAGATTGTTGTCAGTGGACCAGTGATGTCAGTCCCAGAGACGGGGGCGGTAGCACTGGCCGCGCGTTACGCCCTCGCGTAGACTCGGTCCTTCGTCCACACCCAGAACTCGCAAGATCAGCGGTACCGCTTCCTCCTATGCGCTAGGCTATCGAGTCGAAGCTCTCGGACTCCAGCGTTGGATATCGAGCCAGGTAACGAAAGTTTTGCTCCTTTCGATATCGGTATCCGGAATGCACCTTGCATGATCAATCAGACGCCACGGCCGAATTCGTCGTCGCTCAAACCAAAACAATCCTTCGCCTCATAGAATCAGGTGAGAGGATTACTGCGACTCTGTCCTGCAGTGCGCCCATGAGCGATGTCGATAAAACCGAAAGAGCCGAGAAGCTAGCCGACCCAAGGAACTCGGAATGAGCGCAGGCAAATTACAACGAATCGCGTGATGGAGTGGTTTTCTGAAAGTTCAGAAGATCTCCAAGGATGTTTTCTGTTTTGGTACCAGCTGAAGTTGACCAGCGGGCCGCCGTCGAACGGCAAAATTCGCGGGATGGAAACCGCGCTCCGAGAAAGCGATTGTCGATCACAGAAGCCGTTCTCCAAAATGCATGAACATTTGAAATGAGTTTCGAGAATCTCTATGTTCATCGACTCTGCGGCTCTGACGACTCTACCGCTTCTCAAAACATCAACGTCCACGGTAATAACTTAGGCCAGATCATGCATGGCCCGTCTGACAGTGAGACATACTGCGCTCCCTAAGAGGGGAGCAGGCGAACGTGGGGAAGGCAATTTCGTCGCCCCGCAGTATCTTCGATCGCTCTCTATTGATTTGATTCCGAAGGGGCGCCGAACTCATTTACAGCCCCAGCTGAGGTCCACCAAAAATATTCTAGAATGCTCGTGATATCCGTAAACACGGAACGGCGCGGCAACTCGGTGTAAGCTGCTATGAGTCATCCTGCGATCGCGTTTGCTCAATGCTGCGTCAATATATGTTACATCGACCAGCACAAGAGCCGATTGAGATAGCTTCCCTGTATCGCACAAGAAGGTCGACCGCACCTGCGCACCCAAACAAGAGCCGATCCGAGCGAATGTCAAGGTCGCAGCCATGGGCACTCAACCTATAATTGCTGAATTTAGAGCTCGATTGTCTCCGACCGGCCACATGAGTCCTGGTGTCCGGACTCTCACTCTTTTGATGGTCATGGGATGCTTCCATTGTCATTGACTATTCGATACTCTCGGTTCCCAATGATGAATGTCATGACAAATTTCGACAGCCCCGTGTACTGGGAGTGAATATTAGCGAGGAATCCGTCGTGCGACCTTGAAGAGCTCCATGCTCGACATTGTCATCGCTTATGAATACCCTTGCTGAGATTGGAGGTATTGCAGCTTCTGTCATTGGAGCAAGAGTCCCGTCACAACTCTCGTTTCGTTGACGCGGAGGCGAGTTAGACGTCCTGACTCCAGTTCTGCTACCCCCTGCCTTCTATTGAAGAACATTCGACTCAAAACACTCACGAGAGTGTTGTCTACATAAACTACTCACTTGAACAGGAACGCGTCACAAGCCATGCAGTGATAACCCCCTTTCTTGTCGAACCTCACGTATCGTCCAATGTATGCCTGAAAATGAGAACTGGTCAGATCGTCGAAATGAATCGAATCCTCTGCGGACTGAGCTCAGCGTTGACTTTCTGATTTCCCGGGCTCGTCTGACTCTTGAAGCCGCTCTGAGTGATCAAGGAACCGAGTCAGTTGGTCAATCGAGCTCGGTTTCTCGCTAGTCATAGTGTTTTATCGCGATCACTTGAGATGTCAAATTCGCATCGTCTCCCGTTGACGGTCTTCGACGCAACGATCGGTCTCACAATGTCCAAAGGGAGGAAATACGAGGAGGCATCGACCGCAAACTCGTTCCCCACGAGAAAGCAAATTATTCGGCTCGTGCGCTGGAACCGACTTCCGCCTTACGAATTCCTGAGGCTGGGCACCGTCTCCGCGTCCAAGCCCCACCGAGACCGCGCAGAATCATTTTTTCGAAGGAACGTGTTCGAGGCAAGTTGCGACCAGGGTCGCGTGATTCACGACCTGCACTTGGCGAGGGCTATGCGGAAGTAGCTGAGCGGTGGAATGAGTGCTCAGGGACTTGGTGCACGGAACGGGTGTTCTGGAAGTTGATCCACTGCTTGAATGTCAAACCACCGAAGAATACCGGGCAAACACGAGGTGATGACTCATGACAATTCATATTGGAATTCGGACTAGGTCTTTGCGGTCCTCTCCGAGACTGCGAGCAACTATCCAAGGATGCGCCAACAATGCTAGCAATCGAACTCCGATGCATCGACTCATCAGCTCAAGGATCATTCGCCAAATCCCGTTCCTAGCAGTGAAATCATTCTCTTTAGATGGACACCAGAACGATATACATAGAACCAGACCCCCACTTATTCATTCAGAAGTCAAACAGAGCAGACGTCCAACAGCGCAAACGTCGAATAGACCGCCGATGAACAGTGCAGTCACTGCGGCCGCAACAAGCGACCGACGACGCGACGTCGACCTTGGCCACCGGCATGACGCAAGCCGTCGGACGCAGTCGACTTCATGAGAAGAGGAGCTCGAAGTCACGCCGAACACGCGTGTCCGGCGAAGTTTTCACAAGCGATAACTCGGGGGAAAAAACTAGACACCTTCGGTCCGGCAGCAAGTTCCCAGATGCACGGCAAAAATGACAAGTGTAATCAAAGAGTTGCTCACATCGCTCCGTCCGAACGATGGATCCATCTGTACAGTCTGCGCGAATAGAACACTTGTGGATACCCATTTCATCTCAATATTAATGCCTTCTCGAGCCATCGCTGTGTGTCTATCAAAGATCGCTCCACGTCACAGCCGCAGCACAGGGCGACCATACAAAGTTACAATAATTGAATGACGACGACTGTCACTGAGACAAACGGTCAGCCATTCAGTGAAACAGATCCGACGCCCTCCGGCTTCTCCCGGCGCGCGTTCCTGCTCGAGATGTGAATGAGAAATGGATTTAAAAGGATTCGGCTTTCGTTCATTCAATGCTGGGGGGCAAAGTCTTGAGAAGCGTTTGATTGCACCTTTTCAAACGCTTACCGGCAAGCTTAGACTTGTTCGGAAACCTTTGGGAACCTGTGACGAATTCCAGGCAGGAACTCAAAATAATTCCTCCGGCTATCCGAATTCAATGATGGAATCGAGAAGTCAGCCTCCATTGTTGCTCTATACGTCCACCGATCATTTTGCTGAGTTTGCCTCAAAATACGGAACAATCACTATTGAGGAAACGAGCTTCGAAAGAGCTTCTTGCCCATTACTGACGTCGTCGTACGAGAGAGTCAACTGGAGGATTCTGGGTATTTGTGGGTGTATCGATTCGCCCGGAAAACTCGATCCCGGGAAGACACACCGGCAAATTAAGAAAACTACCCGGAGACGGTACGAGATCCATTCGACTTCCGCCAAATCTTTTTGTATTTTATTCTGTATTCGACGAAGACCGAGACCGGAAATACACGCGCGGCGAGACTCGGAATATCGCGCAGGCATCAGAGGCTGATGCTGAGAATCGCGATCCTTTCAAATTCATTATTTGCTCTCGAAACGAGTTCGAATCCTGGTTTGGAATCACCATCAATAAGCACTACGAGAGAGTGAGGGGACTTATTAGGGTTCAATAATTATGAGGACCCGAGCCACCCGCCGCGCCGGTTTGTCGCTTCGCGCGGGTCTCAAGTCGAGACAGCTCCTTGCGCGGACGTCCTCGATGAATATCATCGTCGGTGCATCGCGATGAATTCCCCTCTTTACCTCTATCCTCACGGGAATTTCCATTTTCCGCATTCCCGTGAATATTTTGATTCTCTCGAGGGTTTAGATTGAATAAGTGATACTCCAGAAACGGGCATTATCATATGGCTGAGGATCAGCTGTCTTACGGGTTCGGTTCCGCGCTGACGGCAGACGTAGAACTGATCGGGCGTGAGACGATCTCTCCATTCTTGCTCGCTGAGTTTGGCAGGGTCCTGTATCTTTTCGAACTGGGTGAGTGGCTTATCGGCCTCACCCATGCCAAAGAGGAGGAGCTTGCTGTGGTCAGCCCTGTCTGTTTGTCTGCTAGCTTACGGGCCTGCTTCTCTGTCCGTCCTGGTGTTCGCCTATCTGCCCGTCCGTTTGTATCACAGCTAGAAGCTCGGCGAGATGCACACAGCTATGACAGACGTCTCACTCAGCGAGTAAAAATCGGAGAACAGGCCTCAGTACCTCACGACACTGCTAAAATAATCACAACCAGGTGCCCGAGCTTCGGCGATCACGGAGAACCTCGCAGACGGAACTCGCTTGGGGTCCGGATAAGACTATCAGACCGCACAACGCATGGCAAAAGTGTGGTCTGCTCTAGGTTGCTGCTGGCCCGCAGTATGGGTCTTGAGTTGCCAAAGCATTCACCCTCTCTACTTTCGACTCTCCCACTTCGCAGAGGGGGAGAGGACGAACTAGCTTAGTCCGCGAGCGACATGCAAGGCTCGATTGAGGCCCGATACGACCCCTCATTCAATTTCTGACAATACAACTGTCCGCGGCAGCAGCGGCGACGAGAACGCTAACCGACCCCCACACCAACGGATGTACCTAGTACTACACCGAGCAACGGTGACCATCAAACAGCTGTGCGCTTCTGTCTGACACGCGACTCGCTCTTGCTCCCGCGCAGACAGCCGCGTCCGCCGGGTGGTGGGCTCTATTCGAAATCGCTGTCTCGGTGGGATCGAATTCTTTCCCGAGTTCGAAATTGGGGACTCCATCCAGAGGAGTGTCCATCCTCGAGTGCCTGTGCTGCCTCATCGGGTCTGTCCTGAGATAAAGCAGAACTTGTACTCCACGTAGATTGAATAGACTGAATCGTCGTATTGCTCTATTTTTCCATTCTTCAGATGCTGCCTTCGATGACTCAGGTTTTCTCGAGCGGGATTCAATTATTCGATGGCATCGCCAATTTTCCTTCTCGACTTTCCCGTAGGAATTCGTGTAGTTTGTCGGTAGATCTTCTTCAGAGCAAGAAGAGTTCCATATCTCGCATCGTTCGCGAAAATCATCATCAATATCGCCAGAAGAAGATTCACTGTTAACAGCTGGCTCTCAGGTGATGGGTCGCTCGGCATTTGCTCGCTCGAGCAGCCGAGCTGCTGGCTGAGTTTCTGTTTGCTCAAAACGATGAACGCCCACTCAAACGTTTCATACAAGGTCGCAGCAGGGTTCAGACTCAGGTCAGCCGCTCGCCATGCTTCCACGAGAATCGAAGACGAATACAGAAACGTAGAAGTATTCGAGAGTACTTCCCGTAGAATTCCCACCCCGATTCCAGCAGAACTACGCGGAATTCCATCGAATGACGTACCCGGCAACCTCGCCAGATCTGATCGGCCTGATTGTGACATGATGAAAAGGTTCTCGCATCTCCGCCTGGTATATAGCGAAGGGATCAACTTATCGTCAGCCCTTCCAATCATTTATCGTTACGAGGCTCTGTAGCAGAGGTGTCAGACTTGACCTTTCGGCGGACCTTATTCTAGTGCCGCAGAAGCCCGCGGGCTACACTAAATATTCACTCACGTATTGAGAAGAGTATTTGCCTATCGACCATTGGAGACTGCTATTTGACCCTTCGGGGAGTCGAGGGAAAATTCGTTTGTTTGGTCTCACGAGAGGAATTATTTCACCGATCTCATTCGATTTCCAAGGACTCGATCGCGATGGCTCGAAGCGCGCCACGAATTCGACACCCCTGTTAGGCGGCATTACCCCAGGTCCGCCTAGTCGACTCGAGATTGTTCTCTGCGTGAAGGCAAGGCCGAGGGCAACCCTGACTACTTTGCAAGATCAGGGACCGTATACTCCTCGGAAGAATTCCCCCGCTCAATCGGCTCAGCTTCAGCATGCTCTTCTACCGATGATTATTCCGAAATCTTTGATCAATTTTCTCTCTGATCTTGAATTGAGACACAGCGGATACGCCATCCTTTCCGGCTTGGTCTATCGCGCACGGACTTCGATGAGACAGCGGCAGCGGAAAATCGCTGGAGATACTGAAGCTCCGGCGACGCTCACGGACGCAGACAGAGAAAAAAACGGAGGTCGGTCCTGTTAGACGCAGCGTAGGGGAAGATATTGGCCAGCTTCCCCCAACCTCTCGGGATCACCTCCCAGTCGAAATCACTCCGCTCAGTCGGACCAGCCGCTTATTGGGACCGAGATGGTCCCAATGTTATGTGGTCCCATTCGGCGGGGTACACTGTATTCTCATATCTCATCCTGAGCAAACGAGCCAAACCGCATATCCGAAACTCCCCCATCGCGCTTCCGAGCAGCCGCATCATTCCGCGGTGAAGGTCTCGATCTTTCTCCAGGAGAGACACAAGTTAGATAGATGAGATGGTCGGAGCGTGAATGCGTCGATATGAGTCTGCACTCGTTCATTCCTTTCTTCTCAAGGAGCTGATGGAATCATTCGGGTCTCGTGATTGCTGCGAAGCTTGGGCGCAGCTCGAAGGCTCTCATCGTTAGAACTCAACAGCCACAGTATCCCAATGTCGTCCACGTGATCGAGATTCACGTGGAGGACCGTCGAATCTGACTTATTTCTCGCCATCGATGGGCGGACTCCCATCATGTGGAAATTCTGCGGAGAAAATCAACGGTACGTTCAGGGGGCCCGGACAGACCCCCAACCGAGTTCCGGAGGCGGCAGAGGCGGGCAGGAGAGAGACTTATGCAGGAGCTAGGCACGTTCCTTTCATCGTCAAGGCATTCAGCAGTTCTGGCGACCCCAGTCGGAGCCGAGCATCTCAAGAGCGCTACGTGGGTCGCGTTCTCTGCAAGGACATCCTCGTGGCCCTGAGGGTGACTGATGGTCCCAGCTCACGCGGAGACCCTCGATCCGGTGTTCAGGGGAACTTCGCGACTTCGACAGACGAGCCTGAGGGGAGTTGTCAGCGGGATCGTGGTAAGCTTCGAGAAGACCTAATTGGGAACGAGACTGACTGCTAGATGGAGAGCGGAAAGAGAGATGATTCCGGCTTCGAGGAGTCGGACGGGAAATGATTATACGAGCCTGAGCTCGAGCATGACGGCGGGGAAGTTTTGGGAATTGCAAAACTGAAGGAAACTCCTTCGCGAAATGAGGCGCGCACCTACTTTTCCGCAATGACTCCTGATCAGCTGGAGACTGATGACTATGACTCCCAATAAAGCGCAAGCCCGAGAGCTTCGGATTGCCTGATTGGAGCCGCGGATCCTTGCTCAATTCCTCTCATCGACATTTATAGGTGAGATCTTGATCAGTGATTTCATACGATGATAAAATCGGTTGAAGGTGACTAAAATAGGTGATGTCATCGGTGGTTTCTAAGTAAGCAATATTCCTGGTGGAGATGAGAATCGTGCAGGTCTCACAGCTCCTCGCTGCCTGAATGGTCTCTGAGATCAAGTGCTCAGCCTCCGCACTTCCACTTTACTTATTGTCTTCACTTACCCATCCGAAAACATCATCAATCCCGGCCCCAGATGCCCGAGGTGCGAGCGACGGATCACTGTTTTGCGATCGACGAATACAGTAGAAGCTCGTTACTACGAACACGGAGGGACCGACGAAACTGGTTCGTTTTACCGAGTTTTCGCTGTAACGAATGCCGCTCAACACTATCCTTGTACGGCACCGAAAATTTCATCTTTGCTCCGTAGAGGATAGGCCATGAGGAAACCACTGAAGTCATCGACGAAAATCGCGAGCCAGCGGCATTTGCCTGGGTATTCCACGCTCATCGGACCGCAAATGTCAAAGTGGATCAACTCGCCGCAGGATGCTGCTCTCTTGTGTGAGGCTGGAATCGGCAATCGCGCTTGCTTACCAAGGCAGCAGGCTTCACAAAATCTTTCTCCTTTCGACACTTTGAGACTTTCACGAGCGCTGAATCCTGACACGGCTCCATGTCGAATTATTGCCTCGAGTGTTTGATAATTAGCGTGTCCGAATCGTTCATGCCACACGTCTAGAGGCTGAATCGAGTCTTCTACCATCGCCGAACTTATTTCCTCCAGAACTCGACATCTCATGCGATACAGTTGACCGCTACCTTCCCGATCTCCAATGGCTACCTTTTCTCCGTTACGAGCCACTATCAGGCCATTTTTCGAGAATACCGTTTCGAATCCATTGTCAGCCAATTCGCCGATGGAAATAAGGTTCTGACTGATCCCAGGGACATGAAGAACATTGACTAATCTCGCACTGACTGGTTTACCCTCGACAATACTCTCAATCCGGATCGATCCAATTCCAACTCCATCCATGGTATGACCGCTAGCTGAGATTACTGGTCTTGGATTCTCAAGAACTTTGTAATCGGTAAACCAGTCCCTCCTATTGCACATATGGCGACAAGCTCCGGTATCGGCGAGCCAATCATCGCAATCATCTTTCGAGGAGGAAGTCTTCACGTTGAATAGGAATTCTTGATCATCACGATCATTCCCCGAGGCACACATACCTCGACTCGCATTAGTCTGCCCGGACTGGCCATCACGCTTGAATTCAAAGCATTGGCTTTTCTTATGACCAATCTTTTCGCAGAAATAACATTTCCCTTTAAATTTCCTCTGATCGGGCTTGCTTTCTCTGAATTTTTTTAGTCTTTTTAGTCTTCGAGACGAACGCAACTGTTTCGTTCCCAGTGGGTTTTTCGTCGCCTTGCTCTATTTTCTCCGCCTTCATGAGACGTGGGATTAAGTTCTCGACGGTTCGCTTCTCTTCATCTAACATATCCCATGCGGACACTAAATGACGATACTTTCTCGGCAACTCGAGCAACTTTGAAACTGTCTGAGGTGTGTCGATCTTCTGACCGACATCACCCAATCGTTGAATCATAGATTCGACATTGGCGATATGAGTATTCATGTCCATATCGTCTGTCATCTTATAGCTGTGGAATTCCTTTAGCAGAAGGCTGACGGAGATCCTGCATCTCGATTCGTACATTGTCGACAGTCGTCTCCATATCTGACTCGCAGTTGGGACTGCCATCACCGTGCGGACCACTTTCGTCTCCAAGCAGTTCAGAAGAAGCGCTTTAGCCTTTGCATCGATCTTTGTCCACTCTTTGCTAATTTCACCGTCCACTCCGGGTCGCTGGGGTATGGAACCATCGATAGTCCCAAACCAGCCATTAGCGATCAAATACGGTTGCACCTGGACCTTCCAGACTTCGAAATCGCGGTGGCCGTCGAATTCAGTGACTTGCAATTTGTCCATTGCCTCACAAGATTTTTTTGACTTCAACCACTAAACACGTCTATCCGCTTGCTCTGCTTTCTCTGTCTCGCATCCTTTATCAAGCGACTACTTCCGTCGGGAAAACTGGGCCCATAACCAGCTGGCCAAAGGAGGAGAAATCCCTTGTTCGCTGTACCGAGAAATTCGTTGTGATGGGGGTCGTTATAACGAGCTTTCACTGTATCGGTTTCGAGGAAGCATAATCCTTCGATGTTCTGCTTCGACGACCGTCTTCTGCGCCAGACTTGCGTTCATGCCCCACCGCCAGGACCAGTAATTCGCAGCAGTTCGGAATGAGGCATCTGCAGCATGATGGATCCGGCCGATACCCGGGTATGCGATGCGACCAATGCAAGGTCATTTTCCCCTGCCTCCGTTGAGCCAATTGAGTGACTGTGAGTCTCGTGAGAGTCACTGACTCGTGCTCCGTGGGTTTGAATCCGGAAAGAAATCATACTGCAAGGTTCGGCATCAGCACAAGTTGGATGTTGAGAAATAGGGTTGTGGGAGCTCAATCGAGTCCATCCGAAACTTGAAGCCAATTCTCGGAATCGATCTTCGGTGAACCATCCACAGGGCATCGTCACGCATGCTAAGATCTGAATCGTTTTCGGTTCTTCCTTCGAAGAGCTCAGCTGCCCCTCCTCTCGGCACGCCGGGTTCGGAGCGGAATCTGTATCAGAAAGCGAGCATCCACTGTTCTCTGCGGTTTCGCGATTTGTCCGTCGGGATTGTCGTTATTCCTCTCTTCCCACTCTTCCAACATTACTTCTGTGACGAAAATCATCTTCGGGGTGTTTTCTTTGTGTAGGCCCAGTCTTTTCCGTATTATACACTCAGCATCCGGGGGGTGTTCGTTTCGAGACTCACATGCTCTTGATGGATCCGCTATCATTCTGCGCTAACACTCCCCGACGTATGCTTCTTTCATCGGAATGGTGTACTGCGGAGCGACTCTGACGACCCGTGGGATTTCTATCCAGGTATGGTACTCAGCCCGAACCTCATCTCGTCTCTCGTATCTCGATTTAGGCCGCTTGAGTAAGGTATCGGCCCTGACCCCGCCTCACATACGAACCTTCTTCGATACCTCCGATATTCCGCTCACCCCGATCACAGATGGGCTTGCAGTGCAAAAGGGGCGAGCGTCCCATTTGTCACAAGCAGGATAAAGCGAGCGCCGGAGATTCCCCGGAAACGCGGCATTCGTGAAACCATGCTAGCGGAAGAGGAAGTTTACTCACTCGCTCCGCGTCGGGCTCAGAGCTCGCAACGAACTCGATGAATGAGCTTTTCATTTCAGCGCGGCGAGTCTATTCAACGGGTCCTTCAAAACACTCCCTGATTGCTTCGAGCGCATGAATTCAGTCAATCTATTCAGAGGTTCGGAATTCACAGCCCTCAGCCTGCAGAAGACTTTACTGGCGATCGAGGAGGGAGCTTGCCGTGATAGGAGCCGCAATGCGTTGACGGCTGACTCGAAGGATTCGGAGAGGATCATGATTTCGACGAAGTACAGAGCCCGCTCAATCGGCGAAGCCACCCCATCGGCCATCATTTCTCGGCTCCGATCGTATTCTGTACGTGTTATTTGGATTCATTCAATCGGCCAAACCGCTGATTCGGCCATATGGGCCTGGCCCCGATGGTGGTCGATTGAGCGGGCTCCACTGTATCAAAAAAACATATTCGCATAACAAATGAGCGATAGGAATACCGGCACGCCGATGGACGGTGCCGATGGACGATGGACACCCAGACAACTCCTCAATCGGGTTTTCAGAGAGCCCCGCGAAGCGAAGGATCCTTTGCCGATAATTCGTCCCCATCCGCTTTGTATGCTTAGGCTCGAGAGCGAGAAAGAGAGGTACGATGGAGGAAGCCTCGCCCGTCTCCTGTCCCCCCCCCCCCGTTCACGTGAGGGTCCTTCGCCGTCGGTGATCATAACAGGATCCCGAGGAGGAGCCGAAGCCTAATAATTACCTCGAACTCAACGAGCTTATGCATCTGAGTGAGCGAGAAACCGGCAGCGAAGGAAAATGAGGAAGAAGACAGAAAATACTCGAATCAGCCCAAGGCTAGGGCGGAGAACTCGCAGACTTCCCATGAATGATTGAGTTCTACCCTCAGTTTTTCCCTATCTCGAGCAAGGTCTTTGGTCGGACCGGAGCTAGAACGGGCGATGAGGAGTGCAAAAGTGAAATTAATAGACTGAATTGGGAAGGTCATTGGACATGTTTTCGATTACCTACACAGCCTTCTAGTGCAAGATCTGTGTTGACGGAGCTTCGAAATCCTCCAATGTGTGCTCGGAACCAGATGAGCCCTGACGGGTCTCTTGTTTCTGGTCCAATGGATGATGGGGGGGGTAAATTTTCAGAAGAAGAAAAGAAAACGTTGAAGATGTCTCCGAAAGGGTGGGAAAATCGCTCCCGCTCGCTTCACGCGGATGTGATGAGCTCTGCAGAACCGATTCGATAGGGGCGAGCGAATTCATCTCCGAGCTAGTACATCCCTCGGAAGGTCAAGGAAAAGCGGAAAACGGTTTCATCGATGAACTTGCTGCTTCTCGAATAATAATATGATCTACGCATACATCTACTCAAGTGATTTGACACCGAGAGAATCCGGGTGATGAAAGACTTTCAAGTATGTAGAAGAGGGTACGACGTCTAGCGCTTTCGAGAACTAGACGATCGGTGCGCCACGTGTTGATATCCACATTCTTTGTTTCCGCCCACCGCGGGAGCCTCTTCCTCGGGGTATCTCCTGAGGTCCACCCTAAATCCCGACGCTCATGTAGGGGATTTGCGCGCCATCTGCCTCGGGTTTTCCACATCAACCCATCCGCGTTGCTCTTTCCCGGAAGGTTATGTACATATTTTTTTGAGCAAACAGGCGTTCCTGGAGAATTCCAGGCTTCCCCAACGGGATCCAGGCGTGTTGATTCGGTAGCATGACGCTTATCATCACATTCGATGCGTGCTAACTTTAGCGACTCGCTAAATTTAGCGCCGAACCTCATCCCCGAGGCCTAACCCAATGTCGTGTTTGCCGCGAACGATACAGGAACATCCATGAGAGCAACTTCTCTTGTTTTCCTACGCTCGAGGTATCGGCGATTCTGGAGCTTGGCGAACAAATATCCTTCTCAAGAGCCCTCAATCTCGTGACGTGCGGAAACCAGTCTCGGGGGTTCGAGAAAACGGTGGAAGACATTGCTTGTTTGCTTCGATATCGGCAACTCCGAATTAAATGACAAGACACTGTCAGAGGTTTAACACCTTCTTGTAGGGATTCCCGCAAGACTGGAGAAACCTCGAGCGTAATTTCGAGATGTTCTTCGCTATTCGCAGCACTTTTTGATCGAAGAGGGGGTTCCCGCAGTGGCTCATGGCGTCGGTAGCTCGAAAAACTCCATGTACAATGACCGCAGTCCTCCATACGCAAAAATGCTCGAGCTCGCTCATTTGCTACCGCTCTCGACGGATCGTGCCCTGTTGCTACGGTTTTCGCTCATTTCGCACGGCGAGACACGGCTCCAACGATTTTGGAAAAAAGAAGAAAGTTGCAACCGCGCCGCTCAGCATACTGCTTCTTGCCGATGGTTTGAACTGGGAATGAATTCTTGTTTCCCCTTGACTGCAGCCGGTGGGGTGGATTCTGTCGAACAAGAGCCGCGTCGAGCGGAGTCAAGTGCTTCGGACGGTCCATCTTTCGGTAATCGCATGAGAGCAGGGCCTACACTGGACGCTCTAGTTTCGTGTAGGTAGATGAGAGACACGCAGCAGAGGGGAGTAATTTATTTCCCGGGCTGGAAAGGACGCTGAATCGACCGAGGCTGAGCGGTCATTGTCCCTTCCTAAGTCCGTTTTCGAAGCCGCTGAAAAGTGGTCATCGCCTGACCAACCTTCATTTAGCGCGACGAGACGGGAGAGGCAATGGAATGGTTCGGAAGAGAAGGGAGCCGACCTTTGACATGCGAACACGCTTCTCCATGCTCGAAAGTCGATTGAAAGAGCAACGCGCTTATCCGGGGGACCTTTGTGAGCTGTTTTGAGCCCCCACGTGAAAAGATCAGATGGTGACACCCCTGCTGTCAGCCGCAATCTTCACAGCGATCGTGGAACTCGGACGCGCTCGTCCGAGGAAGACGATCGCTGCGAACCACTGTCCTGGACAACTCCTTTTTCCCCCGAAAATGTGCCCATGTCATCCATTCGATCTCGATTTCCATCCTTTTTCCCCGACCGCAGTCGAGACCTGCGGAAACAGCGGCGGGTTTCGGAACCCTGGGAAGCATATATTGGCCTCCTAGAGCTTCGTGGATCGCTACTCCATGGCTTGGCTCGTTTCCTCAATCATTTAGCTATTGACCTTTAGCGTGCTCAAAGCGTCGTGCACGTGAGGTCAACCGAGAAGACCGACACCGCCCATTAATAAACTTCCAGTGCTCATGGTGGAGGAAGAGCAAATATGTTTTTTTCTCCTCGGCTGCCGTTATTATCACGCGACTTACTAAGTCAGCGAGTATCTGACCGTAAGATAGCGACCAGAAGTCTGTTCTAGGTATCTATCGGGAGCCTCTGAACCCCTAATTGTACCATGGATATAATTACACCAATACATATCCTCCGGGAGAGGTCAAAAAATTCTTGGTCATCGGAAATTTCCGCCTTTCCCGGATTCTGCGATGAGCTCCTCGGAGGAAAATGGGAATCGATGAGCGGAATCGTGGTTCTGAATCAGACCTTAGCTTAATCATTTCATAGTCATAGAAGAGCTGCGCGTGAATGGCTGTCGCATTTGAGATCTCGGAAATACGTACCTATCAGGAAAACAATGAGAGTCCTCCAATAGACAGGGATGAAAGGAAATGTGTCCGACGCCGCCCCCTGAGTCAGTCGACGCGGCTGGGAGGGCGCGGTGGAAATCAGCGAGGAATGTCCCCGGGACCAGGAGGGAGCGACAAAGGCCGG